GGGCTCAGGTCCTCAGCTCTCATAAATGTACAATAACCAGGGAGCAGAGGATTATCCCTTAATCTACATATTTATAGGGTTTAATTTGGCGGGTGGCTCTGGTGTCATGGCAGCGGGAAGAGGAGCCTTTGCAGGGCAGAGCTGGGCCTGGTCCTGCCTCTGTCACCTCCCTCTCTGTGTCACTGTGAGGACCAGCCTCCTCACAGGCCCATCCTCATCCTTAAAACTCCTGGATTCTCCCCCTGTTATATCCCAGGGCTGTCCCAGCACCAGGATTTTACAGCTGGAGGCAGGAGCCCTTCCCCTCATGGGGAGGGGGAGCTCCCAGAAATGAGATTTGATAACACGAATTTGTCACAGAGGTTGGTGGGGTTTGGTCCAGGAGTGTCAAATCCAGCTAATGCCAGGGACAGCCATGAATCCCAGCTCAAATTAAAGGGAAAAGCATCTGGGAAGTGCCCAGCTCAGGGTGGGCAGCCTGAGGCTCAGCCACCAGCACTGTAGTACTGGGGCCAAATTCCGGCTTCACTCACCCCAGGATGGGTCAGGAGCAATTCCAGCAGCTTCCAAAGGGTCACAGCCACGTGCTGTGGTTTGACTTTAACATCTGTCCAGGAAAATTGACCTATAAATCCATGGATGGCTTTGGCCCAGGGCTGGAGGGACAGTGCTTTGGATCAGGAGGGTGCAGGAGAGGCTGCACATCCCAACCTCTGCCCAGGAAAGGGAGTGCTGGGTCAGCCTCTGGCTCCAAAATAAGGGTTGGAATGCTGGTGTCTGGGTCTTGGCATGGAATGAACCCACCTCCAAAGCTCAGCCAGGGGTTGGGAGGCACCAAATGGGGGCTGAGGGGAGGGTGGGGGTGACAATTCGGAGTCTCACCCGGGGTTTGGTCCTTGCCTTGAACATCAGCTGCCCTCCAGCAAAGTCACCTCCAAGGAACAGCTGCTTCCCAGGTTATGGAAGGCCTTTGGAGAAAGTTTTGCTGGGCTGGGATCCTCTGAATTCCTACAGAGAAAAAAATGGGGATAATATGGAGAATGAGGATGCTGCCAGGCTCTTCCGGGGTCAGGATTTGTTCCCGTGTCCCTGGCTGGATTTTCCATCTTGGCTGGATGAGGATGTAAATGCAGAGATAGTTTGGAAGTTACTAGGGATTGCACAGCACTCCAGGAGGGCAAATTCCCTGAGGGAATCCCTCAGGTTGAGTTTACTGGGAAAAGGGAAGGGGCAGAGCACACGAGGGGTTGTGTGTCCTTCCCTGCTGTCCCCATTCTCTCCTGTGTCTGCCATGGAGGGACTTTTTCCTAAACATCACCTGCTCTCTCCTGTGTTTTCCCCCCATGTCCTGCAGACCTCTCCCAGAAGAGACAGGGATGGAGTCACTGGGAAGCCCCACAGAAGATGAGAACACATCCTGTAAGTACCATCCTGCCTCCTCCACGATCCAAAGGGGAATGGCAGCTGGCAGTCAGGGAGAGAGCCACTTCCCTTGGATTAGCCACAAAAATTCCTGGGGGGGGGGGGGAAAGAAAGCAAGCAGAGATTTGAATCCCATAATTGAATCTCCTGGGGGAGGAAATAGGGATCTCACAAGAAACAGGGATCTCACAAGAAATAGGGATCTCACAAGAAACAGGGATCTCACCCGGGCACTTCCATCCAGCCACTCCCAGTGCCTCCCAGACCCTGATCCACCACCCAGCCCAGAACCTGGGATATCCATGAGGAAGGATCCAGGACCAGGACAACCTGTCAGTTGTTTTCCTTTTAACTCCAGCTCCCCCCAATACTTTAAATTTTAACGGGGCGCATCGTAAGCGGAAGACACTTGTTGCACCTGAAATCAACATTTCCCTGGACCAGAGTGAAGGCTCCATCCTCTCTGATGACTTCCTGGACACTCCAGATGACCTGGATATTAATGTGGATGATATTGAAACACCTGATGAGACAGATTCCCTCGAATTCCTGGGCAACGGGAACGAACTGGAATGGGAAGGTAAAAAGGGCTGGTTCTGTGTGAGTTTTGCAGGGGTTGGGGTGGTTTTTTAGCCTCATTTTGATGACTTTTGACACAATTCACCATCAGCAGTGGAGGGTTGACAAGGAAAGGGAGATTTTAAGCTTATTTGTGTAACATTTTGGCAGTAGAGCAGGATTATTAAGCCCCACAAACTTGCACAGATCAAAGCTGTGGGTGGAACGCGATCCGAGCACCATCCCCGGGGTTCTTGTCTCCAAAGCCTCTTCCTGCATTAGATTAAAGGCAGATCTGCCCCTTTTCCAGATGACACTCCCGTAGCCACAGCCAAGAACATGCCTGGGGACAGTGCAGACCTGTTTGGGGACGGGGGGACAGAGGAGGGCAGTGCCACCAACGGCCGGCTCTGGAGGACCGTCATCATCGGGGAGCAGGAGCACAGGATCGACCTCCAGATGATCAAACCCTACATGAGAGTGGTGACACACGGAGGTGAGAGAGGTCCTGCCTCAGGGGGGGTGTCCCTGTCAAGGATTCCAGGACTGTTTGGTTCCCATTCATAGGAAAATTTGCTGGCTGTTTTGTGAAGTTACACACAAGAAGAAAAAAGCGCCCAGATCGGGCTAAAAACTGCTCTAAAAAGGGTCTAAAAGTGTGGTCGCTGCAGTGGGGTTTGAATTGACAGAGAGAGGGGCTGTTCCCAACCCTCAGGCCTGGTGTGGGCAGTGATGAAGGGTCTGGGGGGGTTGAACTCCTCCAGCTTGGTGCCTGAGCTGCTCCAGAGGGACAGCAAAGGTTGACAGAGCACAGTCAGTGCTCTTTCCAAAATCCAAGCAAAGCCAAGGAACAACCCAGCTCTGACACCCCCAAATTCCTTCCTGAACACCAAACACATGTTACAGCCCAAACCAGGAGGAAACCTCCTGGTGAAGGAGGTCCAAAGAGGGACAAAGCTCACCTGGAGCTGGACAGAGACACAAAAACCGCCCCGGGCCCAAATTTGACAACACAACTTCCTTCTGTTTTACCCTCAGCTCTTACATCTTTCCCTGGAAAACCTCACAATGTTGCCCGTGTTTTTCTTTGCCAGGATACTACGGAGAAGGTCTCAATGCCATCATTGTCTTTGCTGCCTGTTACCTCCCCGACAGCAACCTGGCTGATTACCACTACATCATGGAAAACCTCTTCCTGTGAGTGGCTGGGAGGGAGAGGAGGGAGAGGGAAGCATCTCCAGGGTTTCCCTGCACTCATTGCATCAGGGACATCAGCTGGGAATAGTCTGAATCCAGGCCAAACATCCCCAGTGTGCAGCTGCAGAGCGGGGTGAGCGTCGCCGGCCCCGGCTCCGAGGCCAATAAGTCAAAGCATTCAAACATTCTGGGTTAATGATGCCAGTGATGGACTCACATCCAGGCTGGAGCACGTGGGGGATGTTCAGCAGCTGGGAGAGAACAGAGCTGGGGTGTCCATCAGTGCCTGAACTGCACTGACACATCCCTGGGCACTCCCTCAGAGGCGCCGGGAGAATCCAAACCTCTTCCAAGGCCTGCAAAGAAAGAGTCTTGGAGGCATTTCGGGGTGAAACACTCGAGGAAAGCTCCAGGGTGTATTTTTTTCCAGTCTCTTGTCCCTTTTGCTCACCCAACAGGTATGTGATCAGCAGCCTGGAGCTGCTGGTGGCTGAGGATTACATGATCGTGTACCTGAACGGGGCGACGCCCCGGCGGAGGATGCCGGGCCTGGGCTGGCTCAAGAAATGCTACCAGATGATCGACAGAAGGTGGGAACCCTGCTGGGGTGGCCTCTTCCTTCTTCCCAGGCTTCTCCCCACACAGAATCCCAAAACAGTTTGGGTTGGAAGGACCTTAAAGTTCATCCAATTCCACCCCCTCCATGGGCAGGGACACCTTCCACTAGCCCAGGTTGCTCCAACCTGGCCTTGGACACTTCCAGGGATCCAGGGGCAGCCACAGCTTCTCTGCCCAATCTGTGCCAGGGCCTCCCCACCCTCACTTCTCTTCCTCTGCTTCCTCACAGCACTCCCAGATGACTGTCCTCCTTTCTCACTGCCCAGAGTCTGTAATTCCTTCCTCTATCCCAAATTTCTGACCTCCTCCACGCTCTCCTCCTGCCCTCTGCCCCCCTCCTTCCTCACGAGCCCCTTGGCAGAGCTCAGGTTGGCACAGCCCCAGAGCAGAGCAGTGTCCTGCAGCCTCTGGGCTGGGCTGGGCTTCCTAAAGGGTGTGGGGAGTTTAGGGAATGTCCTCTGGATTTGACTCCATGCCTTGCCTTTTCCCCAGGCTCCGTAAAAACCTCAAAGCCCTGATCATCGTGCACCCGTCGTGGTTCATCCGGACGGTGCTGGCCATATCCAGACCCTTCATCAGGTGAGCAGAACATTCCCAGGCTCAGCTGAGTTTGGAATCCTGGAATCCTGGAATACTCTGAGTTGAGAGGCTGCCACGAGGATCATTAGTTCAACTCCTGGCCCTGCACAGACACCCCAACAATCCCACCCTGTCCCTCAGAGCGTTGTCCAAACCCTCCTGGAGCTCTGGCAGCCTTGGGGCTGTGACCAAACCCTGGGGAGTCTGGTCAGTGCCCAACCACCCTCTGGGGAGGAAGAACCTTTCCCTGAGATCCATCCTAAATCCCCCCTGACACAGCTTTGTGATGTTCCCCTGGCTTTAATCTCACAAATCAGATTTTAAGCTCATCTTTAGGCCAGGAGCAGCCAAGGTGAGGCTGTTCCTTCCTTGTGCTTCTTCTCTCTGACATTTCCAAGGACAATTCCAGAGGTGGTTGTAGGAGACACTGGGGTGGTCTGGACCCAGAGCAGAGTTTGTCCCAGTGGGTAGGGCGTGAGGATTTGCTGGGAAGTGAGGGAATTGTGTCCTTTTTGCTTCCTGCAGATACTGGGAGGGGCAGTAACGTGGGGTCTCACCACAGCTTTTAGACTCCCCCCCTGGCTTTTAGGGGGGAGGTGGGCAAAGATGCAGAGGTTCCATCAGGAAACCCCTGATTTCCTGTGGAGGGAACATCACTCCAAGGCCTCCTTGGTGCACTGTTTCTCTCTCCCTGCCAGTGTGAAGTTTATCAATAAGATCCAGTACGTCCACACCCTGGAGGAGCTGGAGCAGCTCATCCCCATGGAGCACGTGCAGATCCCAGACTGTGTCCTACAGTGAGTGCCAGAGGGGCCCTGGGGCAGCTCTGGGGAGGGGCAGGACAGACATCCCACCTTGTGTTGAGTCAAAATCCATGGATTTGCCTGGGGCAAACCTTGTCTCATTCATGTCTCACACTGTGCCAGCACAGAGCTCCTGTCACCTTTAGAGCAAACATTGAATTTTGCTAAGAGTGAACAATCTCCATTTAAAGAACATTTCCTCTTTCTTGCAGATATGAGGAAGAGAGGATCAAGGCCAGAAAAGAAAGGTAAAATTAATTTTTAGGGGGGTAGGGTGGAGAGTGGGTTCATTTTCTTGGGGAGTTGTTGCTTTCTCCCATCACTATTTGTGTTATAACCAGTAAATTCCACCCCGAGATCCTGCACTGATTTTCTCTGACTCAGTAAAAGCTGGAAGAGGGAGAAGCTTGATTAAAAGGTTATTATTTATCCATAGATTAGAAGGCTATTTATCCACACAACCTCTGAACCCCACACATCCTCATCCCACACTGTCTGTGCTCCCAAAGGTCATCAGACACCCCTCTCTGTATAAAACAGGCACATTATCCCTATTTGAGCAGCAGACTGACCCTAAAGTGAGCCCCTGTGCTTGTTTTAAAAGCCACTTCATCCCTGTGGAGTGGCATGAAGAGGGACTTCAGCTTGTGCAGTTTGTTTGGTTTCATTTTCCAGACCTGCTCCCTCCCCGGTGCTTTGGGGTCAGAAGTGCTGCTGGGAGGGCTGGGCATGAGCAGGGATGATTCCAGGGAAAACAAGAGGCAGGGAAGGAGAGAGGAAAGACCCACTGGGTCAGCACAGGTGCCTCAGCCCCTCCTGGTGCTGGTGCCTGAGTGGGAGATGCCAGTTTGGGAGGACTGAGTGAGTTGTCCAGCCCAGCTCCTGGAGCACGAGAGCCACCAGGGCTGGGGGTCCCAGGGACTGGAGACCATTGCTGACCTCTCCAAGGTCCATCCATCACCCAGAAGGGCCCTGGATTCTCCTCTCCATCACCCCAGAAGGGCCCTGGATTCTCCCCTCCTTCCCACTGTTCACCTCAGGAGGATGATTCCAAAGGTGATTTGTGTTTACAGGGCAGAAGAGAAACAAGACATGGCCGAGAGGGAAAGGTAAGGACTCTGTTTGATTTATCCCTCAGCTCAAACAGTGTCTGGGGGTGGGAACAGCCCCATGGATTGGGAACACCCCCAGGAGATGGTTGGATCCAACAGGACATTCCCAAAGTGTTCAGGAGCTGGTAAAGCCTCTCCTCTCCCGGGCAGCTCCGGGTGCCCCCAGCACTGGGGTGTTCCCAACCTTCACCTCTGCCAGAGGATTCCTGACCCTGCTCCGTGCAGGGAGTGATCCCAGAGCTGAGCCAGAGGCCCTGGGAATGCTCTCCTGCCATTCAGGGGGAGCATTTGCAGGGTGGAGCAATGCAGAGGGTTCAAGTGCTGCTGCTGCTGCTGCTGCTGGACACTCTCCCTGTGGGCACAGGGGGCAGAGCCGGGGCTGTAACTTGAGATGGGAAAGAAAATTCTAGAGGGGTTGGGAAGGGCAGTGCCAAAATCCTACACCAGGAGAATTTGGCCTGGTTTTGGCTCTGCTTCAGAGCGATGCAGCCTCTCTTTTCATTCTGTTTGACTCTCCTGAGGGGGGAACAGGGAATATTCCTGCCTTTTTCCCAGAGAAAAAGGAGTTTTGATCATTGAATTGTTGCAAGAAATAAGAGGAACTCAGGGCAAAGAGAGGGGCACTGGTTTGTGGAGGAGATTCACTCACTGTTGTGCTGGTTCTCTTCCCAGCAGGCCTGTGCCTCCAGGAGAGGATCAAGAAACCAGGTTTGAGCTGGATGGATCTCCCCCTTTGTTTGTCTCCGGGACAGATTTCGTGGCATTTGTAATCCATGAACAAGAAAGCCCAGCCTGGGTTAGACCCAGGATCCATCCCCCTGGTGCCACTCCTGGGCACCCAATGGGCCCCTCTGCCACAAATTGCCTCATTTGTTTGTCCCCAGGACAGTTTTGTAAATGATTACACCCAAATTTACCCCATTTTTTTTTGGACGTGGTGGGAATAATAAAAAAGTTTTACCTCAGTTTGCTGCCTAAAAATAACTCCTGTCTCTCTCTGTTCCTTCCCAGTATGTCCTGAATGGGAGCAGGAGGTGGATGGATGGAGTGGAAGGACACAGCCTGGCAGCCACCCACGGCAATGACCTTTTGGGACAAAACCTTGTCACCATCTTATTCCAAGTCCTGTAAGATCCCAGAGCCTGCCTCCTCTGTCTCCAAGATGCAAAGCTCTTTAACCTTTTTTGGAAACATTTTACCTTAAAAAAAAAAAAAAAAGAAGAAGAAGAAGAAGGACAACAATCAAACAAACAAACAAAAAACACCCCACGAAACAAAGCAGGCCAAGAAAAGCACTTTTCAGGACAGGTTCTGGCGTGTTTCTGGAATGGTCTGTGGAGAGCTGTGACACAGTGCAAATACACACCTTGTAGTAAGTTAAGAGCACCCTCTAATCCATTAGTCCCCAGCCCAGAAAGAGATTTATTTTGTTGGTTAAATTATAAACCCACCTGAACTCGCTGCTGGCCAGCGCGGAGACGTTTTTGCTTTAAAGCTGCACCCCCAGGTTCCTCCCCAACAGCCCCAGAGCCCAGGGAATAACTAATACAGGCAATGAAAAGAGCTTTTCCCTCCTTTTTATAGCCAGTGTGTGTTTGTTCCTGAAAATACCAAGTGCCCACCGGCCTCAGCAGCACTTCCAGCCTTGGCTGTCCCAGCGAAGTCGTTGCCAGCTCCTCAGTCCTCATTCCCGTGGGGAAATGCCACGTTTTGGGGGGTTTTTTTCCCTGATTTGTTCCATTCTGGTGTGTAAGGCACTCTGGGAGCTCTGAAGGAGTCCCCCCATGGAATGGCAGCCTCCACAGAACCTTCCTGAGGGCATCTTCTCCACGCACACCCCGAGAAGGTCTGGGTTTGGGAGGAGCCATGGGAACAGTTTCCACGCCTCGTCTTCGTCTCGATGTCACGGCCCTGGACAATCACTCCCTGTCAAATACCTCCCACTGCAGAGACAAGCTGCTAAAATGGTGGAAGTTTCCCTCCTGAGGGCCCTCATCCATCAGCATTCCTGCCTGGAATATCCCCCCCCACTGGAGAACGCAGGGCACGGGACTGGGTTCAGGTGTGACGTCGGCTCTGGAAATTTGGATCCGGGAACTCGTGAGGATCCTGTGAGCAAAGCAGGGAGGGAAAAGTAAATTAAGGAACAACTCTTTGGCCAAAATTATTTGGAAGTTACTTCACCAGACCCAGGTGGAAGTGTCCAAAGCCAGGTTGGAGCAACCTGGGACAGCAAAAGGTGTCCCTGCCCATGGCAGGGGGTGGGACTGGATGAGTTTAAGGTCCCTTCCAACCCAACCCAGTCTGGGATTCTGGGATCAGGTAAAACCCCTCCCAGACACCTGCAGATGGAGACTCACCTGCCTGTTTCACCACTTCAAGAATATTTCCAGGAGAATTCTGGCTGAGCAAGATTTCCCTCAAGGCAGGGACGGATCCCTCTGGATACACAAAGCTGCTCTTTTTTTTTTCCTTTCACTGAGTAAAACCACCACAGGTGAGATCTTTATTTCCCTGAATGCTACAAAGAAGCACCAAATATATAATTCTTAAGGTTAGTTCTCCTTTGAGACCCGTTCTCATACTGGATGTATTTGCTGCCCAGACCTTTGCATGAAAAGCAGAGCACCCACAGCATCCACCCAGGATGGGTGAAGATGGAAAAAAACCTCCTCATTCCATCTCACTGGCATGTTAATAACAAGCACCAAACAAGCTCCACAGCTTTCTGGAAACATCATTTTAAATTTATTTATTATTATTATTATTTTTATTATTATTATTATTATCGACAAAGGATTTCAAGGCCAGGTTGGAGCAACCTGCTCATGGAACTGGATGAGCTTTAAGGTCCCTCCCAAACCCATCCTGGGATTCTATGAAGTGAATTCTGGGCATAAAAAAACACCCCAAAAACCTTCAGGGTTTTTTTGGGTTCTGCCAAGTGACATCTCCCTGCTGAGCTCCCAGCCAGGGAACTGTCTGGAGGCAGCAGCAGCAGCCAGGAATTCCCAAAGAGAATTCCCAAATAGAATTCCCATCTGCAGAGCTCTGTCAGAGGGGCTGAGCAACCCACTGAAATTAAGGAAAGGACTTTTCCTGATTCAATTAATTTGAGCTCCCAACCAGGAGCAATCACAAACCTCCTCGTGGTCTCTGTGAATTCACCATCTCCTGACTGATAACACTTAAATTTGGTTTTCCTCTTTTCTTTTTGAGGCTGTTTTTTAATGAATTTAGACAAAAAACCCATCAGCTTTCCACAGAGGACACGGTGCAGTCAGGCCCTGCAAGGGAGGTTTGCAGTTATACAGTGAATAAAACAGATAAAACATTTAATAATGATGTAAAAATCCGACTCTAGAAAGCTTTTGTGGGCATCAAATCCATTAAAAACCTTCACAACCTCATGGAAAATGTTGCTGTTCTGGAAAACATGGATGTGGAAGATCAGGAAATTCGATTTCCTTCAGTTTTGGACCCTGGAAGAACAGAGAGGCTCTGGATCCTCAGCAACCTCCACCCCACAAGGATGTGGGTTTTTGGGTTGTTTTCTTTCTTTCCAAAGACACTCTGCCTACATTGTCAGAAAAAAAAAATGAAATCAGAGGAATGTGAGGATGAAACTTCATATTTTTCCCAAGTAGTTCCTTCAGGAAAAGGGAATTTCAGCCGTGGAAAGGAGAGATCACCAATTTTCACTTCAAGATCCCAACTCAGTCAGTTGTTTCAATGCACAAAAGTCAATTTAGAAGTTATTTTTTTTTCAAGAAGTGCACTTTCTGAGGGAGTGGTATGCACTGTGTTTTAATTTTTTAAAGGGATTTTATGAGTGTCTAAAGTTTTATGTTCCTGGATGGATGGATGGATGGATGGATGGATGATGTTTATGTGTCTTTTCCACACAGAGAAGAACCTGCAGCCCACAAAGGATAAATTAAAGCTTAAATGTAAAAACTGCAACAAATTGAAAAAATAATTCCCTTCTTTCAGACACTGATTTTAGGTGTTACTTGCCTAAAAAAAAAAAAGCTACAAATTCTTGGACAGAACCACAGAAAGTTGTTGGTGTCCCTTTCCCAAACATGGAGGGACAAAACTCAGCTGGGTGTGGATAAACCTGAATTGTTGCTGCTAAAAGTGCATTTACATCATAACTTTGAGTGAAATAGAGACCTAAAAATAGGTTTAAAATTTAAAATGAAATCACCTGCAGCCCTTTAGCAATCCTGCTGGACTGGCCAGTGTCCCCAGTGTGCTCCAGGCCTCGTTTCTGCCTCAGAAAACCACCTCTGGAGGATCAATATTTGGACTTAATATTCAGTGTATTGTACAAAACAGCTTCTGCTCCTGGATTCCACCCTAAGGAGGTGGGTTTTTTTCCATGGTGAATCCATGGAAAGCCACGTTTGAGCTGCAGGAGAAGTTGTTTTATGCTCACAACAATCTCTCTGCTCTTCCCTCGGGGTGGATTTAACAGCTGAACTTCACAGCCTGAAAAAAAAATCACATTTCTTCCTCTACACTTGATTCCAGGCTGGGAATTTTACCTTCCCATCTCCTCCAGGTTTTGTCCCAGGCACTTCTCAGATCCCAGAACTACTCTGGTTTTCTGTTGGTATTTTTTTCATGGAGGATCCTCCAGATTTGGGACCATCTGACAAATTTTCATCCCGAACCACAAGGAAGACACAAGGAATTCAAACTGGGCTGCTGCTGCTGTATATTCCAGTTGGATCCAATCCAAGTTTTTCTGTACAGTACTGTGTAAATGTGAGTGGATATTTAGAGCTTCCCTCATGGCACTTTTTCCATCCCATTTTTTGGCAAACACCTGGATGAGAGACCCCGGTGGGAAAAGTTTGAAAAGTGATAAATCCTCTTTTTTTTTTTCTTTTTTTTTAGAGCTCTAGGGATTAAAAACCACGGGAGTGAAGGAAAGGCAGGTGGGAATAACCTGCCAGGGGGTGAAAAGGGGGACAGAAAAATGGCTCTGAACACACAAGCACATGTTTTTCTCTTTTGTATTCCCTGATTTCCTGGCAGGCAGAAATGCAGCATGTTACTGGTAAAAGTGAATTTTCTGACTCACCATGGCAAGAAACCACAATTTCACAATTTCAGGTTTGTTTTATTTTTCCTTTCCAGTGGGTCCTTTCAACCCAAACCGACCTGTAAAAAAAACAAACAAACAAAACGTGTGAAATGTCATTTTTCTACCGTGTTTGTAATTAGGTGGTTGGTGGTAGCAGACCTAGATCTCTGTTCAATATGTATTCAGATTTTTTTTGCTTTGTATTATTCCATAAAAATCTGTGGATATTCAATTAAAATGAGACTAATCCTTCAGCAAAACTGCATCCCCCTCTCTTTTTCTTTTCTTTTTCTGGTTTTTTTTTTTTCTTTTTGTCAGTAGCTTTTATTTAGACTTTGGCTCCATGTGGAAAATATGATGGACATTTTTTCCTTTGGATGCTGTTCCCTGGAAGAAAGGCACTCAAAGTCCTCCCTGGAAATTCTGACACTGCAAAATTAACATCTCAAAGTTGGTTTTTTTTTTACAGAAATAACTTTTATTCTGGAGGATGATCTTTCTCAGATTCCTTCAGCTTTAGCAAAGAGTCATGGAAAAAATTGCTTTCCTTTCCATCAACTCCACTTGTCTCAAGTCTTTTTTTAATCACACTTTATTTTTACATCTGCTTTTATAATCCAATTAGGAACGTGATTGGGAATTAAATTAGAATTATAATTAAATTATAACACCAAACAAATACAAAAAAAACCCAACTCAGAGCTGCTTAAACAGAAAAAAAACTCCAAATCCCAATAAACTTTTTTATTCAATATAAATTTTTATGTTTTTATATAAAATTTATATATTTATAAAAATAATTTTATATTAATTTTATATTAAATTATTTTATAAAAATAATGAAGTATTTAGAGGAAGGTGCTAGAGCTGTTTAAGTGGGTTTAGATAAGTTATTACCACATGTCAATTAATGAATTGAAAATATGAATATACAGGTCTCCCTATTGCAATTTTCTATTCTTCTTTACATTCTGCTGCACTTTTATGTTACTCTTTACATTCATCAGACTTTAAAAGCCAAAAAAGATCATCCTGGGAAACAGGGAAGGCCTTTCAGGATGAGCTGGGCACTCACCTCACTCCTCTCCACTCTACAAGTGATAAATATATTTATATTTATTTATATTCCTTTTATCCAGGCTGGTGGCACCTGGGATTAAGATTAACAAAATGTCAGGTTAATTTTCCAGATGTTTTTTCTCTTCCACCCATGGAATTTTCATGCCTCATTTAATTTTAATTTGGTGCCTGAAACCCACCCAAATTTCCTGCTGCCTTTCTGGATCTCACATTTGCTTCCTCACCAGCTCTAATTTTAAGGTAGGAAAAATTAAAAAAAAAAATAAGAAAAATTATCTCCATAGCGAGGTAAAAATAGTTTTTAAAAGCTTGGTTTGTTTTTAACTCCAAAGCAGAAAAATCCCTTCCTGTTTTGACCTCAGTTTTGCACTTGGAGTGACAAATCAGGGAGTGACAAATCAGTGTTTTGCCACCTCCTCAGTGCTGGAATCTCTCCTGTCACACGAGTTGTGAATTAAACTGTCATCCAAGTGGGAATCTCTTCACCCACGTGCAGGTTCTTCCCTTCACTGAGGCTCCTGAATGAAATTATATTCAAGATTGTGCTAATTATGGCACAGAATATTCCCAGAATATTCCCAGAGTGGCTGATCCTGATCCCTCACAAACAGGAGCCAAAGATTCCCAGTTTAAGACAATTAGAATTTCCCCCCTGAACAATTAAACTCCAAGTGAGGGGGTGAGATCCCACCTTGTTTTATCAACCTAAAAATGAGATGTTGAGCTTAAAATTAGTTTAGTGGCTGACAAGAGATGATTTCACCTGCCTTGGGAGGGGATGAATCACTCTGGGGGGAGGTTTCTCCCCCTCCACTGCTCTGGGAATATCCAGTTTTACACCACACACCCCCCCCATCCTTTGGGATTCATCCCTGAAAAAGTGAATCACCCCCCAGGGGAGGAAAACAAAGGGATAACAGGAGTGGAAAAGAGAAAGTGGTGGAACATTCCTTCCCTTCCCAACACACACTTTGATCCCTCAGTTTGTCACCTTGGGTTAATTCCTGGGTGATTTGGGGACTTGGTGTTGATTTGAGCTTTTGTTTGACAATCCCATGGGCTCCAAAGCTCTGGGTTTCCCTGAGTGACCCCAGGCTGGAGATTAAATCAGGGAATGCTGCTGAAAAACCTGAGTTTGGAGAAGAGATTTGGAGCAGGAGAGGAAGCCAACACATTCCAGTCGTGGGTTTTCAGGCCCTCACGGAACATCCACCCCAGAAAAGTCCAGTCTTTGGGCAGAATAATGCCCAAATGTGAGGTGTAAGAGGAAGATTTTGTACCTGGAATGGCA